AACCCCCTGTCAATTAAGGGGTGGGGCTGTGCAACCATTTTGTAGTGAAGAAACGGCTTGCATAGCCTCAAGCTCTACTAAATGGATGCGCATGCATGATCGAATTTCACTACTAAATGTGGGCCCCTGGTTCAGCTGAAGCGCAAAATTTGGATATATTTTCAGAGTGTCTTAAGACACCAACATGACTCGACCAAACACCCTGTTCCATTTAGTAGAGGCACTCATTTGAGCACAAGTTGCGGGACCAACATCACTCGACCAAAACCCCAAAGCCATTTAGTAGAGAAATACACGGGGTCCATTTAGTAGAGAAAACAACATGAAACACATATGACTGATCCCATGACCATCCATTTAGTAGAGGCAGCACTTGGCTAGACTGGAGGCGGCATGGCAGGATACCGCAAGGATGCTATCTTTGTCCAACTTCTGTTGTTTGATATCGCGGTATACCCGATCATGTTGAACCCAAACACGAAAGGCAGCACCCGACGAGCAAGAAACACCCAAGCGAGGGATTTGGCATCGCCCCCAAAAAAGGCCAAAAAAGAACCCACCCCACCCGAAGAAAAACACGAAAGGCAGCACCTGACGAGCAAGAAACACCCAAGCGAAGGATTTGGCATCGCCCCCCAAAAAAGGCAAAAAACACGAAAGGCAACACCCGACGAGCAAGAAACACCCAAGCGAGGGATTTGGCATCGCCCCCAAAAAAAGCCAAGGCAGCACTGGCTAGACAGGGGAAATCTTGACAGATTTTGGACATTTTGGGACTACAAAATGGTGTTCCATAGCACGTAAGGGATAATAGGGCACACAAGGATGCAACAGGGCTTTGTTTCAAACAGTTCTAGATAGACTGATCCCATGATCATCCATTTAGTAAGCACGACGAGCAAGAAACACCCAAGCGAGGGATTTGGCATCGCCCCCAAAAAAGGCAACAAAAGAACCCAAGCACGAAAGGCAGCACCCGACGAGCAAGAAACACCCAAGCGAGGGATTTGGCATCGCCCCCAAAAAAACGCAAAAAAAAACAAACACGAAAGGCAGCACCCGACGAGCAAGAAACACCCAAGCGAGGGATTTGGCATCGCCCCCAAAAAAGGCAACAAAAGAACCCAAGCACGAAAGGCAGCACCTGACGAGCAAGAAACACCCAAGCGAGGGATTTGGCATCGCCCCCAAAAAAGGCAAGGCAGCACTTGGCTAGACAGGGGAAATCTTGATAGAATTTGGACATTTTGGGACTACAAAATGGTGTTCCATAGCACGTAAGGGATAATAGGGCACACAAGGATGCAACAGGGCTTTGTTTCAAACAGTTCTAGATAGACTGATCCCATGACCATCCATTTAGTAAGCACCCGACGAGCAAGAAACACCCAAGCGAGGGATTTGGCATCGCCACCAAAAAAGGCCAAAAAAGAACCCCAACACGAAAGGCAGCACCCGACGAGCAAGAAACACCCAAGCGAGGGATTTGGCATCGCCCCCCAAAAAAGGCAACAAAAGAACCCAAGCACGAAAGGCAGCACCCGACGAGCAAGAAACACCCAAGCGAGGGATTTGGCATCGCTCCCCAAAAAACGCAAAAAAAAACAAACACGAAAGGCAGCACCCGACGAGCAAGAAACACCCAAGCGAGGGATTTGGCATCGCCCCCAAAAAAGGCAAGGCAGCACTTGGCTAGACAGGGGAAATCTTGATAGAATTTGGACATTTTGGGACTACAAAATGGTGTTCCATAGCACTTAAGGGATAATAGGGCACACAAGGATGCAACAGGGCTTTGTGTGAAACAGTTCTAGATAGACTGATCCCATGACCATCCATTTAGTAGAGGCAGCACTTGGCTAGACTGGAGGCGGCATGGCAGGACACTGCAAGGATGCTATCTTTGTCCAACTTCTGTTGTTTCATATCGCGGTATACCCGATCATGTTGATTTACTTCAACCCAGGAATATCTTTGATAGTCATTGGCATTCTAGAATTTATATTTATTTTTCAAGTTTCTTATTTTTTTGAGCATCTATTATCATATACTATCTGGATTTACGTGATTCATCCTGATGGACATGGATTGGCCAAACGGCTATCGGGGGCAACGGAATGGGAATCTCTACTAAATGGTTTCTCAGTTTTGTCTCATTTCATTGTGACCGTTTTATGAACTCTACTCGCAACCTCTACAAAATGGTTCCTGTGATTTTGCAACATTTTTTTTGACATCTCTACTAAATGGTTTTACCCAAAAAACAACATTTGACATCATATGATTAACATATCATTTTTACCTCTCTACTAAATGTGGATCATGGGTCTAGAGATGTTTACTTGACTTTTTTTGAAAAATCATGATTCTCTACTAAATGGTTTCTAGAAATTTCACACTAAATTTTTGGTTCACTTTCCGGGACCTAGGTCATAGCATTTAGTAGTGGAAATTAGCAGGAGGATAACTTGGTGACTTTGTGTGATTCATCCAGGAACCGACGGGCTTCACTTTCGGAGGCAACAATCCCACGAAATCTTTACTCACGTTGCGTGGCGACTGCGGCTCTGCGATGGAGCAAGGATAGCGTGGAGGTGCGGGGGGGGGGGAGGAGGAGCTGGGTGACTCTCTCGACGTGAGTCAATGATCTTCTTCTTGACCCACCATGGAAGACCCTCATTCAACTCATTGAGCTCATCACCCGTCATCTCTCCTTGGCTAAGAAGTTTCAAGGCTTAAGACTCTCGCAACAAGCTCAAGGAAGACATCTGAACACAATCAGAGACATGATAGGGAAATCAGAAACAAGGGAAAAGCATCAAACATATATTTCAACATAGAAAATTAAACAAAGAACATACTAATAATCAAAAGAACTATGTCCGAAAGCAAGTTCACCTAAAAGAAATGTCTGATATGTATTGATATGTCTGCTGCAAACACAAATTCAATCGAATAATATCGAAAATCGGCTTTATATTGATTTATGCCTTTCTTGAGTGCCAATCCTCCAAGGGGCCCTTGTTCACACAATAGGCAGCTGTAGCTGGAGAACTACAAAGAACACATTTGATATAGCTAAGATCTCCTAAGATCTTATAAGATCTTCTATCATATCCTAAGATCTTCAATCATCTCCTAAGATCTCCTAAATTTGGTTTGAAATTATGTTTGATCCAGGTCTCGGTGATTGAGCTGCATCAGAGTCGAGCTCTCCTCCTGACAAGTCTCCTCTTGACAGGCCTGATCCGCAAGCGCCTGCATCATAAGAACCGCGAGAACCGCAACCCTCGCCATGACTTGATGCCGAGTCTCCCAGAATACTCCGAGAATCTGACAATCCGAAAGGATCCGAAAGGGCCTACCTGTTGAGCCGGGCACTGCAGTCTCAACGTGCTCAGCCCTCGACTGGGCTACACTGCTACACTGCAACTGACTCTCGGAAGCCGATGCTTCTCCAAAGCTGACAGCGTATCTAAATTGCCACTTGCGAAGTGCTACGCAATACAATCCCACTAAATGAAAACCTTCTGCATTGGTAGACGAATCCTGCATTCAGAGAATAATCATCTACCTCGGACTGCGTTCACTGTCTTGCATCTTTTTTGCCTGCAACATCCAGCCACGATGCCCATCCAGTGTCGAAAGCAACTCAAGAGTTTTCCCCCTGCTATGGAGCACGTGCTGTTCCAATAGCAGTGGGAAATCAGTGCCTTCCGCTAAGGTGCAACAGCCGGCCACCGAAGCGTCCCTTATATCGAACATGACTCCCTTGTGAATGGAACCTGAAATATCAGGATGGACTTCTTTTGCGGAAAAAAGTCAGATTGCCTCACGGCTAAAAGAATAGGAAATGGTTTAGGAAGACGCTACACAGGAATAGGAAATGGTTTGGAAAAAGGCGCTACATTATGCTAAATTTTGCTGCTAAATGCATCTAAATGCTAAATTGGTCTTTTCTTTCATATACTTTGATCCGTGTTTAGTAACCTTTGAGAGCAATTTGCCTTTCTACTCCTTTGTGCACGCAACATGCTACAACGCATGTCTTCAACATGCCTTGCACATCTTCATTACTGGTTGATCACATGTTGGGCTTGACTCTATCATCAAACAGGCAGCATCCTCAACAGAAGCAGCTCCAAAAAATGCTCAACAGGAACCAAAGGACACCTCGGCGGTTCTGCTGCTGCTTTTGAGGTATACTCCGAGCCCTCATGAGCTACAAGTACACTATGAGCCACAAGCAGACGACTCAACTGGGCCTGCCGTGCAGCCATCTGAATTGAGAACGAGCCAAGTAGCTGAGCCTTCAAACAATCTGCAGACCTCGTCTCTTGCGACAAGGACCGCCCAAAGCCTGGAGCAACCTGGTTTTTACTCTAATTGTAGTCCTTCTCTGTGTGGGCGTCTTTGGAAACTTCGCCCAAGAAGCCCACCAGACCAACCACTGACATCAAGGGGAAGAATCAAGAACCCAAAATAAGCCAATTACAGGCTGAACCATGTCATGTCTTTCTTGACCAAGGTCTACTCAAAAGGCCCCCCACAGACTTTGGATAGAGCCACCCCACTGGCTGGCAATGCTAAAGGACAACAAAACTGATCCTTCATGTTCATTCATTTTCAACCGTCAATCGGATTGGTGGTTCCCCCCGGACCAAATCAATCGCCGACCAGCCAGCTGAAGGCACAAGACTCAATTAAGCAGTTCATACTTCGATCAAAAATTGTCTCCCAACTCACGTGGAGGAGTAGTTGGCAATGAACGAGGCGTTGGTGTCTGAGATGAAGGGTGCAACAAGAAGACGAGATGGTGCCGGTTGCACATCACCACCCATGTTTCGGCCATACTCCAACAAGTCTGCGCACATACGGTCCATGTTCTGTGCCGACAGAATGCAGCACTCTCGATCCACGTGCCATGACACTTCGGCTGGAGAACATTTGTAAATTGTCGTAGGACGTACCGGTGGTGGAGCCAATGTACACAATTGAGTCTCTGACTGGTTCGCGCCAGGTCTCGTTGAACATTTTGTATTCTTGTTCTGGCCAGTTCACGATGCGACAGATCTGTCCTCGCACAAAGGCCGTTGGATTTATGGATCGATTGAAGACACCACCCAAGCCGCCCGTCAAAACCCCGTCAATGGGCCCGGCCGTGGAATGGACCCAGTGAAACTCATAGGTGTAGCCCATCTTCACATTTTTGCAAGATGTCCAGTTGTAATCAGCCAAGGTCCAGTTGTCACCCATTTCTGGTCCCTGGTTCACTGGAGCGCAAAAATATCCTGGGCGGATGTCATTGGGAACGACATCCCCAAGCACGGCATCGGTAGAGTTGAGGGAATAGCCCCCATCTTCCACGTTTTGGTGTTCACCACCCAAGTGAAAGTGCGTGTTCACGTGGATCAGATTGGGGAACTCATCGAACAAACCTCGGAAATGATTCCAAACTCTTCCAACACATTGAATGGATTTCAACTCACAACAGCGTTGAACAACAGTTGAACTGAAATCTATAGGTACTGGGTGTTCTTTCCAATTCTAGTTTTACGATGTTTTACGGCATTAATTACATGCTCTTCACGGAACAAACTTTGTGACTTTGTGTGATTCATCCAGGAACCGACAGGCTTCACTTTCGGAGGCAACAATCCCACGAAATCTTTACTCACGTTGCGTGGCGACTGCGGCTCTGCGATGGAGCAAGGATAGCGTGGAGGTGCCGGGGGGGGGGGAGGAGGAGCTGGGTGACTCTCTCGACGTGAGTCAATGATCTTCTTCTTGACCCACCATGGAAGACCCTCATTCAACTCATTGAGCTCATCACCCGTCATCTCTCCTTGGCTAAGAAGTTTCAAGGCTTAAGACTCTCGCAACAAGCTCAAGGAAGACATCTGAACACAATCAGAGACATGATAGGGAAATCAGAAACAAGGGAAAAGCATCAAACATATATTTCAACATAGAAAATTAAACAAAGAACATACTAATAATCAAAAGAACTATGTCCGAAAGCAAGTTCACCTAAAAGAAATGTCTGATATATGTATTGATATGTCTGCTGCAAACACAAATTCAATCGAATAATATCGAAAATCGGCTTTATATTGATTTATGCCTTTCTTGATTGCCAATCCTCCAAGGGGCCCTTGTTCACACAATAGGCAGCTGTAGCTGGAGAACTACAAAGAACACATTTGAAGATCTCCTAAGATCGCTAAGATCTCCTAAGATCTTATAAGATCTTCTATCATATCCTACAAGATCTTCAATCATCGTCCTAAGATCCCCTAAATTTGGTTTGAAATTATGTTTGATCCAGGTCTCGGTGATTGAGCTGCATCAGAGTCGAGCTCTCCTCCTGACAAGTCTCCTCTTGACAGGCCTGATCCGCAAGCGCCTGCATCATAAGAACCGCGAGAACCGCAACCCTCGCCATGACTTGATGCCGAGTCTCCCAGAATACTCCGAGAATCTGACAATCCGAAAGGATCCGAAAGGGCCTACCTGTTGAGCCGGGCACTGCAGTCTCAACGTGCTCAGCCCTCGACTGGGCTACACTGCTACACTGCAACTGACTCTCGGAAGCCGATGCTTCTCCAAAGCTGACAGCGTATCTAAATTGCCACTTGCGAAGTGCTACGCAATACAATCCCACTAAATGAAAACCTTCTGCATTGGTAGACGAATCCTGCATTCAGAGAATAATCATCTACCTCGGACTGCGTTCACTGTCTTGCATCTTTTTTGCCTGCAACATCCAGCCACGATGCCCATCCAGTGTCGAAAGCAACTCAAAGAGTTTTCCCCTGCTATGGAGCTGTTCCAATAGCAGTGGGAAATCAGTGCCTTCCGCTAAGGTGCAACAGCCGGCCACCGAAGCGTCCCTGATATCGAACATGACTCCCTTGTGAATGGAACCTGAAATATCAGGATGGACTTCTTTTGCGGAAAAAAGTCAGATTGCCTCACGGCTAAAAGAATAGGAAATGGTTTAGGAAGACGCTACACAGGAATAGGAAATGGTTTGGAAAAAGGCGCTACATTATGCTAAATTTTGCTGCTAAATGCTAAATTGGTCTTTTCTTTCATATACTTTGATCCGTGTTTAGTAACCTTTGAGAGCAATGTGCCTTTCTACTCCTTTGTGCACTCAACATGCTACAACGCATGTCTTCAACATGCCTTGCACATCTTCATTACTGGTTGATCACATGTTGGGCTTGACTCTATCATCAAACAGGCAGCATCCTCAACAGAAGCAGCTCCAAAAAATGCTCAACAGGAACCAAAGGACGCCTCGGCGGTTCTGCTGCTGCTTTTGAGGTATACTCCGAGCCCTCATGAGCTACACTATGAGCCACAAGCAGACGACTCAACTGGGCCTGCCGTGCAGCCATCTGAATTGAGAACGAGCCAAGTAGCTGAGCCTTCAAACAATCTGCAGACCTCGTCTCTTGCGACAAGGACCGCCCAAAGCCTGGAGCAACCTGG